TTTATGTTTTTATGGAATAAGAGGCAAACGACCAGACAAATCACCTGATGGTAAGCAATCAGCGTCGCCCATGGGCACCTGCAACAACGGAGTCACAGGTGCGTTGCCGGCCTTTTATAAAGGAATACGCTTTTTTCTTGCAGATTTGAAGGACACATATCGGTTCGCAAATACCGCCGACCACAGATTATTCCACAGTTTTGCAGTGTAAGGCAGAAAGCTGCGAGAGAAGCGCACAGTTGTTGCCTGCCAACCATCTATATGATGGGGATGGATACGCTGTCGTGAGGGTTGGATTACAAGATATATGTATCTAGTATGATTTGTTCATAAAATAAATCTAAAATATGGAATAGAGTCAGTATAACACACAGGCACATCATCGGGCCTGCGGGCGGCGAGTATGGGTGACTCGCCGTCCGATCAGAACCAGACTCGAGCGTATGGTGCGTCGAGTTCCACGTGTGCTTCAAGAAGCTATTAGACCACCACAAATGGGGCCCAATAAGGCTGATACCGATATGGAGCCGCGGAAGACTTAACAGGTTGCCGGGACTTCGGCTCGAAGTGCAGGAGTAGGAACGGGGTGGTTTTTTGTCAGTACAAGTCTGACACCCGGATGGGAGAAGTCATTGGATGATTTTACCCTTCAAAAAGACTGATTCTACCCCATATGTCGTGGTGGCCCGGAGGTTTAAAACGCCCACTTCTCATGCATGAGGGTGCGGGTTCGAAACCTACCAACGGCAAGTACTAATGTGACTTTTTCCGAGTTATATGTACTTTCTAAGATTATTAAGACTCCACTGACAAACGGTGAAGGAAAAACATCGTGAGGAAACCTGGACTTATAATTTCTAATTATAAGTTTGAAATCGCCAACCCGCATTGAGCAAGCGTGGTGATTAATGCTCAAACCTTCTCCGTGCGAGAAGAGGCTTTGCTCAGCAGTGGGCATTTATAGGCTGTTGATGACCCTTCAAAAAAATTGCACCACATCATTATCGTAGTGAACATGTCTGCTCACTATTACTACGCGAACGTCTAACAGCAGAATGATTATTAAGTTATATTTCTTTTCATTGCCAAAACTTCATGTTCTTCACGAGATACCCTCATTAAACCTTTCGCTCACAAATTATAGACACCTGTACACATGCAAAAAGTTTTCATATAAAAATTCTAGCATTTTACCTTAGGGCTGGTAAAAAAGCAAAAAAAAATACGTTACATTTTATTCCACAGAGTAAAAAAACCTATTAAAAGTTGGAAGGTTAATGTTGTGTTAGAATGGGGCAATTATCCCTCACAAATGAAGATACTTTTTTTAAAGTGCCAGTTTCGTTTTTAAAAGACCGAGTGTAATTCAAGTCGCTAGTCTGTGTCATTCAGGTGAGATTCATTACTAAAACGGTTGAAAGTTTCTTCCAAGACGCAATATTTCTCGGGTCAAGAAAAATAAATACGTGTTTTGCTCCTTTACTATGTCTTTTGGCCGCTTTTTGGTCCCAAGCTGTTTTAAAATGGCTTCCTTGTAACTTGTTGTCGTTCTACGTTATCTTTGAAGTTTTAAGTTCGTCTTAACTCAGCTGCGACTCAAGGTTGGGTGTGTTCTTGAGTATATGACTGTTTTAAAATGTAAGTAGGTTAAAGGCTGCATAACAGTGTCGTTCTACACCATCGATGATTTAAGTTTACAAAATTTATACTAGGTTTTTTTAAAAAAAATAATACTTAGGATTGATGTTCGTTTCTTCGTCTTTATACTTACTTTTCTTCATTTAAGTGTCTCTTTGGATATGCCATAAGCTGTCGCAACCAAGTTGTTTTGATTTATCATTTATTCATTTTTGATGAATAGTTAATGGAATATTCCATATTTATTAAGGTTTTAATGAATAATTTTGTGTAAAACATGTGGCACCTACTTCTCACCTAACAGTGGGTGTAAAGCTATGTACATACGTATGACCAATAATAGTTATTTCTTGCTTTTTATTTTTTATTACTTTTTTATTTTTAACTCGTCGAGTACCGGTTTTATAGACACAATTAAAGAACAATAGGTCGCGGTCACCGGTGACCGCTTGGTGTTTGACAGTTTAAATTTGATGGGCTGACGTTTGACCACTTGACGTTTGACTATCTTGCCTGGTGGTAAGCAATTATGCGGTCTACGATGGAGCACATCGAATCATCATACAAAGAAATAGACTAGAAGATCAATTTATAGAATTTATCAGCATAACAGAATAACAAGCTTCCAGTAGCAAGCCTTTTGAAGTCGATTAATAGAACAATATAGAACACCTTTTCTAAGATAATAGATATCTATTACAAACAGTAATAGGTAACAAGCTTATCCATTTACACAAGCAGCAATGACCTACTTTCTTTAATACTTCTCTTTTATTTCTCATTTCTATCTTTTCCTTTTAAAGTGCATTCATGCCCTGATTCTTTTGTATAGAGAATATTATTCCATTTGTTATTTTATAAGCATTGATGTAAGAATTTCTTTTAGGTGAATGGTTATTTAGCGATGAGAAATAGAGTAATATTATCCTTTTATGTGCTTTGTGTGTCATTGTGCATTTATATTTGTTGTTACTATGAAGTTTTCACTAATTTAACGAACAATATATAAAATTTGTTATTTTGAATAATGAAACCATAGCATTCAAACAGCAATCAAACGTAGATGTATCAATACCGAAGAAAGAAAGAAAGAAAGATTATTTATTTGTAAAACATACCGAACATTAATACTCTGTATTAATAAAAAAAAATACCGAAGTTTACACTTCGGTTTTTTAAATACACACACACATACACATAACATCACGCCTTTTATCCCCGAAGGGGTACGCAAATAGGCACTCAATGTCATATACCGGGCACGACTCCAGGCACGATTCCAAGGGGAATCGAATCCGAGACCACTCGGCCAACGAGGCAGTCTAGTCAGTTTTTCTATTAAATATACCTAAAAGTGAAACATAATAATCTCTCTGTTTACAAAAGGATCGAACTAGAATTTTTTTATTTTATGTTACGAATGAAACTTTTGTCTAACAACAAAACAACATTATTTTATCCGTGAGCTTCGCTACAGAAAAATGCAGTCTCTAAATCCGAGTCCATAAGTCAAGAGATTGACCCATTTAAACCCGCCATCCTTCCTCTCGTCAAAGGCAACAATATAAATAAAACAATCTCCCATTTTATTCAAGATGTTTTATTACTGAAATCAGAATAATTTACATTGTAAAAAATACACATACTCCAAGTTTTACGCTAAGGTTAACACTTTTAGCTTTTTGGCTCTATTTTACAGTTACTGTTTAACTATAGCTTTTAATCTAGATGTTAGATATTCTCCTTGCTTATTGTTACAGATCGATTCACACATCAATTGATTTTTGATATTAAAACCTTCAAAATAATATTGAGCAAAATAAATTTTGTTTTAGTTGAATCGAGTTACATAAACAATTCATTCAATTATAATATGTGAATCGATTTTCGAGAAATTTCTATTGAAAATTAATCTAACTTAGTTCTTTGGCATTCAAAGCAAATTGCTAAAGAGTTTCTATAATGAGATTTTTATAACACTAATTTGGTGTAACAGAAATGCTATTACAATCGCATTATAAGGAAAATGGCGAAAATGAAGCAGAGTGGAGACTGCCATACAATGTGAAAGAATAATGGGAATTGCTAAATCGTCTTTTATAACCCTCTCTGCTTCTATGAATGGCACTATACAACATCTACCAAGCACTGTAATTTCAAATGTTTATAATAATTAAAATCTCAAATGAAATTCATAGTTTCACAGAAGGCTTTGTGAATATCTAATTTATATACTTATCTAAGTACAGACTTACTATAATACTTATTAGTAAATAAAAATAAAAAAACTCCTCTCATCCGAGTTCGGTCTGAGAAGTCTCTTCATTTTTACGTCTCATTAAAAGTTTTTACACTTATTTGTATGAAAAATAAAAGCTGCGTCTTTGGTTATTTTTAACACTAAAATAATTGCTACATATTTTATTGAATTACTGTCACAAAGTTTAATACTTAAGTAAACGATATGTATTTTTTTTTCTATTATTAACTCCCAAAGTATTGTCAGGGATATACGAGTAGAAATATTGAAAATTGATTATTGAAAAATTGTTAATAAATTAAAATTGTACATAGATTTATTATTTATATGTTTATTCTCATTACTGTAAGACACGACATCGTTTTGTACTAGAGCAAAAATCTGTAATAGTTAATTTTATAGATAGGTTTTTGAAAATAATTCTGTTGTAATATTACGATTTTGAATAGATAGCATCGATCTAAATAATTTTGGAAGAAATTTTCGTTTGTATTTTGTTTTATTTGCAGAAGCTTCTTCTTCAAATGATGTAAATAGTTATGAAGTAGATATCGGCATGTGAATGGTTTTATCCTAAATCTTAGTCACTCTTAACAATAATTGACGAACAAACGAAATGAAAAGAAGCTCAATTAGGTACAGCGACAAAGAATCGAATACTATCTATTATTTTCCAACATTGACAGTCATCTTTTACTATTTTTATTTTATACAACATTTTTTATTATATTTTTACACGCCACACTAATTTACATCCAAAATAAATTGAAATGCGAAATGAATGAATGGAATCGAAACAAAATTAGATTTGGACGGACAGACACAGATGCTAAAATTATAAACAGTCATCATAAATAGATTAAAGGAAAGTTTTAATTAATGTATTAGAATGTGGCCACTAACGAAGAACTTGGTTTTCTTAATGATATTAAAATTTGGAGCCAAGTTTTGACCCAACATTTGATAGAACATTGTAATCAAGATCAAACATCAATTATTTTCCCTGGCACACAGTAATATGCATCATCAACAAAACCAACTCCAAATACAATAATAAATAAAAAAAGAAAAGGAAATTCGAAAAACGAATTCGAATTTAGAATTACGTGAGATTAGTCCGCCAGTCTTCGTGTGGCTGTGTTGTCGAGCAGTTGGTGGCACACCACCTTGTTAGAGCGGTTGGCGGGCATGGTGCACCCCCTGGCCTTTGTCGTCTGATTATTCGGCGCGTACGCACAGCTGAGCCTACACAACCACCGTCACTGCGACATGGACTCCAATCGCCCCATTCTGATACCCGGCAGTCTAACAGTCCTGCGGAAAATATGGCTGATGAATAAAGAAATCCTAAGAAAAATAACATTCTAGAAAGTATACAGAGAACTTGTTGTTTTCTAAGAAATGGTAGGTATCTTCTTTATTATAATACCCATTAAACTTAATTCCAAAAGCGAAAGAACAAAATTCAAAGACATTCCAAATAGTATTAATTAATGAAAAAATGTTGCCCGAAAAATATGAACCTAAATTAATAGGACAGTACTAAGTAGACTGAATGAAAATAAATAAGAACTGAGACGTAATAATCTTCATATCCATTAACAGTAAGAATATTTTATGAAGAGACAAGTAATTCATGCCTCTTTGCGGATTATAAATGGGCGTAAGTAGAAGAAGCCGACCTCTGTCGTCTCTCACAAGTTAAATGATCTGTACACCAAAATATTCTGGGTATTTGGAAAAAAATATATGATATTAAGTCAACGAGACCCAGGATTAGGGAAGTCAATGACCTGAGATTAAGTAAGGTCGACTCAAGATGCGTATGTTTAATCCCGACCTTCCTAATTTCGTTCTCTTTTATATTTGTCTCAGAAGCTTTTACGTTGTCGTCAAAGTTACCTAATATTACTTTGTATAATACAAATTATTTTGTCTGTTACTCATTCATTACTCTAGAAAATTGAATAGCAACAAAATATACAAAAAATTAACTTAGTTTTTTTTGCAACGTCATCTAAACTGTTCTTCAACCCGTTGAAGGTATAACTTACTCTGCATCTAGTTTTATTAATACACCACACAATTAACCTCCTAAATAAATTTCTGATAAGACCCCAAAAATTCTTATTTGACAAACATAATATTTAAAAAAATCTCACTTGCTCTTTTCCGCTTCCTCCTTTCAGCCGGGTCGGTGCTATCAGCGCGGAGCTTGCGTCGTCGCCTCGCTCGGTATCTACGGGCCAGGCTTCGAAGAGCTGACCTCTCGCTGGCGGCAGGACCCGAAGTCGGGAGCTCGTTAGCCGAACGAGGCTCTTCGGTCGTACTCGATGTCGTGTTCGTTCTACAAGAAAAGTGCAATTATATCCATCTTGAGTCTTTCCAGCTCACAGTTCCCTTTAAAAATCAGTGTGAATTGTACTCGATGAACTGAAGTGAAAAGTAAATCGATTCATTGCGTTTTAAGTTAACAATGTGTTGAAATAAATATTCAAATACTGTACAACGGAATCCATTGTGGATGTAAATATAATAAATTGAACTGCACGGTGCAACACGACGGTGGCTGACTCCAAATTGCTCTATTACGATTAGCAAAAAATACTGTTTTTGTATTCAATATTGTGACAAAATGCTTTATTGCGTTCGTTTAGTTACAATTTATTGTAATTACACATTTTTTCTGTGACATTTTATTTATTAAAAGTGCAGTATAATGCGGAATAGTTATTTTGTAATTTCTGTATGGTATCGAAATGGAATCCTTTTGGCAATACAATTCCTAAGAGCGACCTAAAACATTTTTTACAAAGGAGCTTCAGATAAACATGTACAATAATAAATATTCTTTTGAAATTTCTTTCACTCGTTTGTTATATCAAGTTTATCAAATAAATATTGTCGTTTAGTATCTCTTAGTTTATCGATATAAACTTACATAGAATAATACGAATAAGCCCCATCAGGTGTAGTCATGGATCCTTCAGAATATATCCTGGGCGCTTGCTCAGCTCTCTCAACTTCCTCTGCAATAGAGAGTGCTCTGTTTCCGTCCAATACATCTATGTTGTTATGGTTCATCTTGTCAAGTTGTAGTACATCGTATCTTCGATCGTCTGTGTTGCGGTGGAATACTTCTGAGAGTTCATATTCGCGTAGCTGAGTGAGAAAAAAAATATGAATATATACTTTTTTAAGTACGATCATGAAATATAAAAATGTTTGTGATGATGATGATGATGATAAAAACTTCTGAAGTCTCATTTCTTCGATGTTATTTTAACCTCAGTTAGGCCTCGACCGCAATAGGGCAGTGTTTTTAACCTTATATCTTTAAAATAAGACTGAAAATGCTAGTAACTATGTACGCGGACAAAATAATAATAAATTGAATCATTTAAGTTACCTTTATAAACTGGACCGTAGCAATAGGCGGTAATCTTCTTAGATGTGGATAGAAGAAAGAACCTGCTGGATGTGATGGATATTTGGATGTGATGCGGTATGCGACTCCTTGCGGTGCGGTGGGCCAGTTCGGGGCAGTGAACGTAAAGCCATTGTCAGTCCCTGCGTCTAGTGGGTCCACCTAATAAGAAATATTCAAATATATCTACGGAAAGTAATATTATCAATACTGTTTTGTAAGTCTACGTAATATTAAATATCTGATTTAGTACGACTGATTTCAATTCTTACTTCAAGCAAACAAAAATGGATAGAAAAATTTAGCACATCTTGGTGTAGTGCATTTTTTTCATCAGGCTGAATTTATTTAACACCCTATATCGTTATATTTGTTATACTTACCTCTATAGTGATGCTGTCCAGCCAGTTCCCATCCACGCAGAGGTCAAAGCTGTCTACTCCAATGAACCAATCAGGAGACGGTATCATGCGAGCCATAACCGACACCTGCGACAAAATATTGCTGTTGAAATTACAATGACAACAAAAAAGTGGCCAAGTGTGAAATATGTAGGTACCTATATATGATTATGTTGTATGCAACGAAGGGGTGGAACCCCATTTAAAGGACAATAAGATTGATTGTGTACTTAATAATATTTCCTATCATGTAATCATAACAATGTCGACGTCACAGGTTTGAGTCTTGTTTGGATTGAAACATAAAACTGTAGTTTATATCGTTCACAAAAAAAAATGTGACTAAGAAATGCGGAATTTTAAAGCGAGATTAGTCTGTTAAGGGGTTAGATTGACGTCCTCTTTAAGTGCCCATTCTCAACGAACAAAAATCAACTACAAAAAAAAGAAAAGGAAAATCTGCATCAACACTTAGGGAAGGAGTCTCGAGATTTTTATTTATAATTAATTTTTAATTTTACATATTAGAAAATTCTCCACAGATTCTTGGTCCGTGCCCTTATCATATATTTTTTAAAGGTTTCTTGGGTTCAATTCCCAGGTCGGGCAAAGTATTACTGGGTTTTAAAAAAAATCTCAATGGCACGGTGTTTAGAAATTTACCCGGTATATGGCAATAATTTATTACATTTACCCCCTATTACATGGGACTCAACATAAATAGTAAAAACTGGGTGTCACATTGAACAGTGGCAATGCCGTAAAACTACCCCTTCGGAGATAAAAGGCGTGATTTTAAGTGTTATATCCAAAATAGTAATTCACAAAATTCTAAACTAACAACACGGAAAATTGAGAACAACGAAATGAAATAACAACTAGTACTCGTAATTTGGACGCGACCATTACTGCCAAGTTGTTGGTAAAAAGGCAACAGCAATTAGTTGTAAGCTCAGTGAGATGTACTCTGTCAACAGGCTAACAGGCTGCAGGCTCAGAGGCACTGTTACTTACGCCTGGTTTGTTAACAAATTCTTACTTAACTGGAGAATTTAACAGAATACGAAAAGCTCTGAAGGCAATAGTATTGTATGCTTAAGAAATTTGAAGTCATTGAGTTTGTGAATTGTGATTTATTATAATTTTTATTATTATTGTTGTTATTGTTGGAGTCTCTGCCTCGTTGGCCGAGTGGTCGCAATTGCGACTGCCGAGCAAGGGGTCTCGGGTTCGATTCCAGGGTCGGGCAAAGTATTACTGGGTTTTTAAAAAAAATCTCAGTAATAGCACGGAGTCTGGAACTGTGCCCGGTATATGGCAACAGGCTCACCCCTTATTAAATGGGACTCATAACATAAATAGTGAAAAGTGGGTGTTATATTGTACAGTGGTATAATGTGCACCTCTGCCTGTAGGGGTAGCCGTTCGAGGATAAATGGCGTGATGTTATATTATGTTATGTTGTTGGAGTCTCTATGTTGTTCCTGTTTCTTGGAGTGTTTAATAAGTTTACTCTTGGCGTTGTTGGATGTGCAATTATTTATTGTGATAACGTAAATATCTGCAGGATAATTATCACTTGTATTGTAATGTGTGTGACACCTCACCCTATATGTAAGTAGTGTAAGTTAGTTATTAAGACACTTAATTAAAGTTATTCATTACAACAACACGTCTCCCTCATTGCTCCCCATTGTAGTAGGTATTAATAGAGTTTAAAATCTTCGACATCGGAGTCAAAACTTTTGTTTTGTACCATCATAAATTATTACTTGAACGCCTCATTGGCCGACTGATCGTAAATGCGACTGCCGACTGTGCATTCTTAAAAAAAAATCTCAGTAGTAGTACGGAGTCTGGAATTGTGTCCGGTATATGGCAATAAGCTCACCCCTTATTACATGGGACTCATAACATCAATAGTGAAAGGTGAGTGTCACTTTGTGAGGAGGCACTAAGTGCCGTCACGTGCTCGGCTTACCCCTTCGGGGATAAAAGGCGTGATGTTATGTTTTATGTAGTTATGTTTGTATAAATCATTACTTTTGATTAGAATTGAAAGATATTTGGAGTACATTTTTGTTTAATATTAATATTTTATCAATTGTTCAATGCTTTAAAGAAATTGAGTATAAAATGAAACCTACACAAATGAGATTCGTACGCTGAATAAATAGTTCAGCAGACATTATTCTCATTTGCAATAATAACATAATATTCCACTAACAGCCTAAAAATAAACACTCAAATCTATTCATGGACATGTTCCCAAAAAATATATTTATAAAACTTATACCTAAGTACTTACTTTACTAAACCAGTTCACTAATGGTTCTTCTATAAATAGGCTGTTTTTATAAATAGAAATAATAACCTTCGTATTATATAATGTTTATGTACGTATAATAATGTACCTACGACCTACGTACAACAAGCTTTCCGCCTACGACTTCCCTCACTGAATTTTTACTACATTAATTCCAAATATTCTGGAATACGTATCGACAAGAAGCCTGCTTGTGGTGAAAACGTTATTGAAAATGAAGAAACAGAGTCTATTCGGGATAAATAAAATAACACAACACATAACATAACATCACGCCTTTTATTCCCGGTGAGATAGGCAAAGGTGAACAGCACTTAATGCCACTGTTCAATTAAACACCCAGTTTTCACTATTTATATTATGAGTCCCATGCAATATTGCCTATTGCCAAATATCGGGCACAATTCCAAACTCCATGCTACTACTGAGAATGCCTTTAAATCCCAGTAATACCTTGCCCGACCCGAAAAAATACGATACTCCTTGTCCAGCAGTCTCGCTTGCGTCCACTCGGCCAAGAGGCAGTCGGTAAAGAAACGTAACACTGCTCATTATTGGAATAACTCCTGTCTTATATGTTAACTAGCTTTTACCCACGGCTTCGCTCGCGTCACATAAGGATAAAAGTAGCCTATGTGACTATCCATCCGTTCAACTACCTTCCGTTAAAAAATCACGTTAATTAGTACCTCCGTTCTGCCGTTTAAGACAGGCAAACAAACAAATAGCTTTCCGCTCGCGTGGAATTCGGTTATATCGCGCTATTTAGATTTTTCCAATAAGTAGGTAATTCGTTGACTGGTTTTAAATGACATACAGCGCCATCTATACCAATATTTTTGTTTTTTCTAGGAAATATCAATTTTTCTGGGATAAAATGTTCCCTATTATTTAATCCAGACTTCTAACTTTACGTCTGCAAAACTTCAAAGCAATCGGTCTAGTAGTTACGGCGTGAAAGCGGAACAAACAAACAAACAAACTCACTTTCCGATTTATAATATAAGTAAGGATGTCAAAATTCAGATTCCATTTAAGCTAGTAGAATAAAGATTTAAAAACAAAAAATACAAAATGATACTATTTTTACCAGACGTCAATTTTCAATAGAAAATTCTCATCGATAACACTAACGAGGGACGAACGAAAGTTCGAGGGAAACCAGGTCAAACTGATTTGGATCTTCGTTAATATGAAATTTTAAAAATGTAACTTTTAAAAATAGAATTTCTATAATGATGTTGTTAAAGGTGATTAGTGGAATGCTTCATTAACCTATAACTTCAAAAAAGAGTTTTAAGTAGTTTTGTTAAGGAATGCTTTGGCTTTTTCAGTATATAGTGGCTCTCCATATCTTGACAATAGGCTCTAAATGAAATAATAAGACTCTCATAGTAATTGGCGAATATTAGCACAGTAGTAAATGAATTGACACGCAAGCACAGTGGCGCGGTTGCTGGGCAACTGGTTGCCACGTAACATGTCGCGAGTTTGAGTCCCGCACGGAACAACTGTTTGTGCAATCCACAGATTGTTGTTCCGGGTCTGGGTGTCATGTGTACGTGAATTTGGATGTTTGTAAATGCACTCACGACACAGGTGAAAATCCTAGTGTGGGAGGCAAGGTTTAAAAAAATAAGAAGTGCTAACTACCTCCAACATAGTTCATTTTAGATCAGGTTCATAACAACTTCGACGAACCAAAATTACCTACATGAACTTAGTTTTACAAGGTACTGACAATTATGAACTTTATACAGTAATAACTGTTCGGTCATTTTAGTTGGCTTTATAATATTGTAGTTTGATTAAGAAACTATGGTTCAGTTTATACGCAATTTAAGTTACTTTTAATGCATTTAAACGCAACTTAAATTGCATAAGATAACAAAAATACATTATCTATCATACCACTCACACATACACAAATACATATATCATACCACTGGTGCTTTCAAATTCAGAATAATAAATTATTTCATCCCAGTTTAAATCGTATTCAAATTAATTTATTGCAACTAAGTAATCATAAACTGATTAACTTATTAGGCTTTTTAAACGTAATTAGTAAAATAGTTCACATTTCCTCATTAACAAATAAGCACATACCTACGAAATAATGAAATTAATTATTCACGAAACAATATCATAATAAACTGAAATACTTACACGATCGGACATAAAACCCTTCATTAATTAACACACAACAATTACCTCAAATAAATTCATTCGATAAATCGATTCCCACTCATACCGATTAACGAGTAAAGAATCGAAATTAGGCTTAACTGGCTGAACAACAAACATGATTCTCGATTCGATAAAACTCCCCTTTATTGCTGGAATCGAGTCGGTTCTTTTATTTGTCCGTATCGTAATTGGTGTTTGCTCTGGAAGCATTAATTAGTGATGAAATACGATATTTTTGGGCATTGTTTGTTGGGGAGGCTACGAGTGCAATTTCACTAGTACAAATAGCTTCGCGCCGTAAAATTATTGTAGGGTGTTCCTTGTTGGGTGACATACTTTACGTCATGGGGTCATTTGTTTGTTTTGTGAATGTGTCCCCGGTTCTGACCTTTTTTGTGCTTTTCTCGAATTCTCTTTTCTGTAATTTTTTATACTACCTAGTTATAGAGAGTTGTTTATAGCGCTATAAAGGCAATAATTATTGTCAATAATTGTCATTTCAAAGTCACAGTCAAAGCATTTCTTTCAATAAAACCATAATTTGATAGTTTCGAAACGTCAACAAAAACAAAGTAAATAATAGTCTATCAGTCTGTCCATTAATGAAACTAGGTGCTCGTTCCAAAATGTAGATTCGAATGGGGAATATCGAGCAAGAAACACCATTGACTGAAATGCATGACCAATATAGTAATTACTTAACCATGTGCAAAAGGCGACATTAAAATAAACAACATTAAAAAATTCCAATGTCTGGCCGCACGAAACGGGAATGTAACTGCGGCCTTATCACAAAATTGCGCCATCCATTGACGATTTTAATTGCAAAATTATTGGAGCTTCATCTTTATTGCATTCGATTACGACTGCACTCGTTCCGCCGAAATAATGATACTAATAAAATCAGACAATTTGCTGTGATTCGTTTATATCTGTGCGTCAAATTGTTTCGATAAACCCGATATTTAATTGGTTTGCGGTATAAATATGAAATTTAAAACGTTGTAACGCTTAATGATGCCGTTATTGCTGTATATGTTCGGGTTTTCATTTTAATAGCAATATTGTTGGGATCGGTTGAATCGAATGGTATCTATAAGATTTTAACGACAGTTACCTGAATTGCGTTCCATTATTTAAATACTAGCTGTTACCCGCAACTTCGTTCGCGTGAAATTATTCATATATCTTGTTAATTTATACTTTTTTGACGCGACAACGTGTTGATTGGCGAGGCGTATTTGAGAGCTAGTATGAAATAGAACGTTTATTGTCTACTCAAGATGGCAACTGCAGTTTGTCTGTCAGTGGCATTAAAATGAATGAATAAAACGAAATAATCTCCGTAATCAGAATTTTGCGGATATAATATGTTGTCGACTCGAAATCGATATTTTTTGTAATTCAGGTAATGTTTCGATCGAGTCTACCGTACCCCTTGACGAAATTATTAATATAGTTTGGTATTTAAATACGCAAACAGCATATATCGATCTACTTCAATTATCATTCTCTATTAGACTTTATAACTAAAATAATAAGATTGAATATGTATTAAAGAAATCTATTATATTAGTGTATCTTGATATGCAGGTTTATGTATGAGTATATTTAAATACATGAGCGTTCGAAATGACATTCAGATTTGAGGGAAAACTAAAAGGAACATGACGTATGGATTTAGTTTGGGCGAATTTACCCTTAGGGAAATATAGAATTGGAATAGTAAATTTTGTATAGGCGTTTTCCTGTTATAAGTAAAGTGCTGTGAAAATATTTCCGCCGGTATGTTATACTACTGAGATTGATACCTACTTAATGTTTATTTTGTGCTGGATATGAATGGTAATGTACTCTATTCACTAGAGATTTGAGGAAATTGAATCTGGCTACATATTACGTATTTATAGATTGATATTATTGTTTCAGCGATATTGAATTTTCCTAATTCACCTACATTTTAAGACGAATAATTAAAAATAGTACGATAAAGGTTTTTGATAATAAATATTTTTGTGTTTTATTCTGTAAAAGGCTTATAAGTAACTCCTCAAGTTAAAATTTTGTTCATTAACTTTTTCGATTTCTTGCAAACTGTATTAAAAGTCAAAGTCAAAATCATTTATTACAATTAGACCAGGAAGGCACTTTTGAACGTCAACACTGTAAAGTTAAAGGTGAAAAATTATACTTTCTTTTCTATAATTTTGCACCTACCGCTTTAACATTCTGCACCACCCAATGGTTGACTGTCAGAGAATGACTACGGCATTACGTCCGCCAATTTCACAGTGTTTGTGCAATAAAAAATACATAACTATAACAAAAACTTACCCTAGAATGATTCCCATCAACAAAGAACTCAGCTTCAGTTCTCCCAGCGCCCTGTCCAACAGCGGGTGCCCCGAAAACGTCGAGCGTTCCCGGGGCTGACCCCAGAGCGTCGGATCGACCCATCTCGGCGAACTGTCGAACTGAGGCTGACACTCGAGTCCCCAGCCGGAATAACGTGTATGATCTGTCGTGTGATACACCTGGGAACAATGGAGAAAGAAAATTGTATTATGAGGTTTTTAGACAAGTTACCATCATGTGATACAGTCTGCCTCGTTGGCCGAGTGGTCGTAAGTTCGACTGCCAGACAAGAGGTCTCGGATTCGATTACCGAGTTTTGTAAAAAAAAAACCTCATGTTACAATTGTTGGTTCAATACAACACTTGGCTTCAAAGAGCTTCGAAGGCTTATTCAAAACTTTATTTAATTCATAATTATTTTCGATCTTAATTAAAAAGCTTCAAACTTTCCACTCCAATTCCATTTAATATCCATTTCTAATTACTTAACCAACTAGGAACACAGAACCCGTACACAATTCTCGAGTCAATACTCTAGATAAACAAACAAAAGAATAATTTTCCAATGAGTTTTCCAATTTGGACAGCGATACCCTAAAAATGTTACAACTCCTTAATAAAGACTTTAAGTGTGGGAGAGCCATGCTTCGGCATGAATGGGCCGGCTCGACCGGAGTGATACCACGGCCTCACAGAGAACGACGTGAAGCAACGCTTGCGTTGTGTTTCATCGTGTGAGTGAAGTTACCGGAGGCCCAATACCCTCCACTTCCCCAATCTCCCCAATCCCTGAATCCCCAACGATCTTCAAACTCCTAATCCTTAAGAGGCCGGTAACGCACTTGTAACGCCTCTGGTGTTCCAGGTGTCCGTGGGCGACGCCGATTGCTTATCATCAGGTGATCCGTTGGCTCGTTTACCGGCTTATGCTATAAAAAATGGTATTTTTGTTGATAGTTCATCATGTAAGTACTTGTATGGATATTTTGGTCAACTCGTTTACCGGCTTATGCCATAAAAAAAGACTCACGAACGACTACAGAGGACCTAGTACTTACGAGTTTGTTTTACAAATCTATGACTTTCGGCGCGCTGATTGGCCAGCTCCAATTAACCAACCAATGAAAAGGTTAGACGCGGTAAAATTACGATCGCAGTAAAGTAAAACAAAACCCGTACTAGGAATCTATAAAATATTTTTACAAGTAACTGTTTACAAAGTAATTTGTTACCTTCCTTGTAACCCTTTACAGTTTATCTGAAATTTAATAAAACTTCATTAAGTAAGCCGTTTTGTTGAATAATAAGGCAGTCGTGAATTTTGTAGCTATGTAAGTAAATGTTATAGGTACATTCTTATTTTAAATTTTTATGGATTGTTAGATGTTTTCTTGTTTTTTTTTTGTTTTGTTGAGGGTGTGTATTTTGTAACTGGCCAGTCTAATTATTGTCGCTGTTGTTTCAATAAAAACTTCTTTTGTTTTTCTAGTTCACCCAAGTATTTTACTTACAACTCAGAAATAAACAATGAATAAAACTCATTTCAAACAATTTCAGACATCGAAATTGTATCATTTACACAAAAAGAAAATCCTTAATCGCTCTCAGAAAGATATATGCGATGCCCATCAATTCATTAATTACTTTAAATCCGTTTCACTTACAAAAGAGAAACGAAACGAAATTAAAAATAAAACTGCAATAAACAATACTGAGTCATTGTTCGCAAAAAAAAAAAAACAAAAAGACGACAACCTTGTTCCAATTTTGAAGGTGGAAATGCCAATAAACATTTTCTTCGAAATTCAAAATGTTAATTAATACCAACCTATATTTTGCTGAAGGTGTACAAGGAGTTAAGGCATAATAGCTTACAAACTGATTACTAACATAGAAATAGTTGATTATTAGTCACCTGTATATGTATATGACTCATAAGAAAAATAGGGTTTGAATATAATATAATGTGTGTTTGTAAGCGCTCCTATGCGGCATAGTAAGTAATCCTAGTGAGTGTTAAATTCATAGATAATATAACATTAATATTATGCTTCCGTTCCATTTTTATATTTCTTAAATTTTATGCAAACAATGGAAAATATTACACATATTTTTTTTGGGAACACAATGTTCCAAAAATAAATACACATTTGAAAAACGAATTAAATCATGCATGAAAAGGATTATGCTTGAATTGAGGTGAAAAGCTGATTCGTTCGGTAAAAGATTCACTATACTATACAAAATATTTCTGGGCTCTCGGTCGGGAGTGGACGGTCGGTTGAGTAAATTGGACCAATATTTTATATATTTTTATTACAAACTGTACATGAAATAGGACGATTCGGATGTCCAAACGTCACTAATAATAAAATTGTAGTGTAGTGCTTTTGCTTTGTATCGCTCATTATTTGGAGTTCCGTATATAATTTGTACAAGAATTCTAACGTCCAACTTCAATAACCTATCTATCTGTAGATTTGCTTACTAGAGATAAAATTTTGATACTTCTTGTATGGAGCTCATGTCGAAATTCTATCTCTAGTAAACAAATCTACAGAAACTGGCTGTTAGTGCATAACAAAAAATGACAAATAAATGGATAAGCAAATACACCACTCATTGGTGATTTTCCCAGCAATGGGTCTTGACCAGCGTTGAGTGTTACCACGCTCAACACAATGCTGAGGTGGAGGCCCGTTCGACACGGCATGCATCTATTTTTTGCTAATTTTGTGATGTTTATTTTTTGTTTTTATTTATATATTTTTCTTTTTTCTCATTTTTGTCCACATATCTGTGCATGCAATGTGTCGAATAAATGTTTTTCTTACTTTTTTTCTTTCTTTCTTGCAAATAGATAAACCGTAATGCATAGATTATCTTGACTTTTTATGTTGTGTCTGAAGATTGTGACAAGGCAGAAAAGTGATATAGGCTACCTTTCTTCGTCGTGGGTAGAAGTAAATAAATAAACATTAAACTCTAACATTCTTTACGCCTCACATGTCAAAACGATTACTAAATAAATTAACACATTAAAAGCCCACGGAACCAAACGTAGTAGCGTGCGAGTGATTCATACAAACGTTATCGAGTGGACCAGCAGTAGTTGCCAACTGGCAAGCTCGCAACATTTGATAAACACTGCAATACATAATCGTGTACTGTTGTAGTGGAATACGGAGACAGGTGTATTTCTGGGGTATTGAGATTTGAAACTGAGTCAGCGAAGTATTTCTGGATTTACGGGTTTTGATAGCTGACTAGACAGCTTGAAATTGAAATTGTATTTTAATTATTAGATGTTGTGAAGAACGATTTGACACTACAGATAAGAAATTTTTTTTTTTTTAAACTTTGCACTACACTATGATTATCTCTTGTGTCGTGGGTGCGTTTACAAACATACAAGTTCACATAAATTTTTCGGTTATTATTACTATGTAACTGACAGTCCAGTAATAGTGAGTGTGACTAAATTAACAAAAAAACACGTGAAAATACTAAGAAAAGCTAGTTTCGAACCAAAGAGGTCGAGAGTTCGAGTTTCCTCATGAGCAGCGTGCGCGGTCGCGGCAATGCTACCGGTATTATAAAAACACAGTAAGTGTGACTCTCATTCGCGACATACACACACTTCGCAGGTTGTAACTGTCAGTCTCAGAGACTGCAGTTTAAAGGGTTCAGTTCTAGCAGTGAGCAAATACCATATGTAGTCTCAGTTCTCAGCTTTTACGACATCCGTGGAAAAACAAGAGGGGTCGTCTCCATGGGACTTCATCGACAGTCCGTGAGAGTCTGTTGTAATCTAGGCCTTAATATACTCTACAAAAGAGTTGTTTCCCATAATCTCCTCGCTAGACAGGCGGGTTGGAGATAAGTTATTTATCATTGTCAAAGTCAAAGTCAAAGCATTTATTTCAATTAAACCATAGTTTGGTACTTTTGAAACGTCAACAAATACAAAATAAATAATAGTCTGTCAGTCAGTCCGTCAGTGAAACTAGGTGAAGCTAGGTGCTCATTCCAAAATATAGATTCGAATGGAGAAGAATGAGCAAGAAACTCCATTCATTACTCTTTTTAAAAAAGTATGTTCTACAATGTCTCTGATACATATTTCAATACATATTGATACATATTGATCATGAGAAATATCATAGTCTATTAAAACGAATATACTAAAGTAATTCAATATAACGAAGCGATTTTCAATTTTGTCACACACCACACGCTAGATAATTCACCGTTTATATTAAATCTAATTTGATAGAAAGCGTCAAGTGTAACGACTATATCACAGGTCATTGAACTTGAATTCATTTATTTCGCTGTCTTATGACAAATTGTTTGTGAATGTCACACGAGCTTGGAATGAAATAAATATAAAATGTTTGCGTTTTCTGTAAAACTAGAGATTGTATTTCATTTTCTAGATTTTGTAGATACTCTATTGGAAACTCGGGGTTTGTATAAGAACCTATCAATATATTATTATATAAACATGAAACCCGTTTCCCGTTGTCACGCTATAACTTGAGAATAGCTAGACCGATTTGGCTGATTTTTTTTGTTGTGTTTGTCATTGTCGGGAGAAGGTTCTTATGACAGAAAAAAATCCTGAAAATCCTACGGGAAAGGAAGAAAACGGGATTGCGCGTACGAAGTCGCGGGCAGAAGCTAGTATTATATACTTGGCAGAGTATTTTCATTCGTATAAAATTGTTAATATTGTCTTCATTAATTAGTAATCAATCAGTTTGTTGTTGCATAGTTGAGCGGTGGCTGGGCAACCGGCTGCCGTGCAACATGTAGCGGGTTCGATTCCAGCACGGAGCAATTGTTTGTGTGATCCACAAATTGTCGTTTCATTTCTGGGTGTCATGTGTATGTGAACTTGATTGTTTGTTAACGCACCCACGACATAGGAGAAAATCCTAGTGTGGGGCAATATTAAAAAAAACGTAATAATGATAGTGGCAATAAGTACCGTAGTTAATGATTTTACATGAGTATTAATTTTTCTAAGCCGCCACAGCAAAATGCATTCTAAATTACTAGACAAACACAAGTCTAAATTACTATTGTAGTAACGACGCATTACTCTAAAAGCAACTTTAACGTCATGGGGCAAAAGGTTATTTTTCATTGTAAATGTAGCATATAAAGAATAGTA